ATAGCAGGATTCCCGAAGGCAAGATATTTTCCATGTGCAAGAATGACTTCAGAAGAAGCCAAAAAGAGAAGAATGAAGAAGAAATTTACGGACTCTTAAACTAATGCAGATACAATGCGGAACTCATCTAAATTGACTATAAAATGGAGAAAGGTCCGTGGTTTAGGAGTTATTAATTTTTTTATAAAAAATTTTTATATTAATTTAATGTGTGAAATTTGAATTTTATCTCTATGTTAAAAAACAAAAAACAAAAAAATCCCGAAACACGAAAATAGATGCACACTTTCACTAAACTTTTTTCATGAAGTTGATCTCCCCCTAGCGATTCACTCAGACTAATCCCTTTGACTTCAAAAGGGAAAGGGGTAGACAGTGAAAACAAGAGAAAAGTTTCGTAGAGAAACCTCGAATAGAAAACATCAGGAAAAAGATAAAGAAAATAATTAATATTTACAATCTTTACAAATTTTAATATTAAAATAATTAATAATTAATAAATTAAAATTAATTAATTAATTAATATTTTTAAATATTATAGATAACTATTTGACAAAATAATTATAAATGACTGAAAACATATTTAAATTATTGGCCATAAAAACGTCCTGTAATTTTTCAATTCAATTATTTTTTAACAATTTATTGACCAACTCCCTTGATTAGTTAGTTATCACGTGTTTGATTTCTCGTTATTTTAAAAAATAAAAATCCATAAAACAATAAAAGGCCCAAGTCCAACGAAGCCCATCAAATAGTTAACGAGGTGTAAAACTTGAAGCCCGTTGGGTTCTTAGTGTGCTTCACTTAGAAGTTCGAACTACGATATGTAGAGGCCATTTAGCCCCAAGAAATTGCGTAAATGGATCGGGTAAACAATATGGACCTGAATTGTACCAGCATCGTCTCACCTCGCCGACCTCGAGCACCGTCGAGTAATATAAACCTCAACGTTGATGCCAAACCTCGTCTTCGTCCTCTTTCAACATTTCCCTGTCTGCGTTTATAAAGCAAAAATCTCTGTTTTCTCTCTATTTGTGCAGCTTTTGAGAATTTGTTGGAGGAAGAATGCCGGGTTTAACCTGCAATGCTTGTAACAAGCAATTCAACGACTATGCCGAGCAAAAGCTTCATTACAAGTCCGATTGGCACCGCTACAATCTCAAGCGAAAGGTACTGTAAGGGTAAGCCCAGAGCTTCCCGCTAGAACAGCTACACGGTAGTTATGATGGACATCCTTGTATCTAGATATATCTCAATCTCCCGGTCCCGAAATAACTGCTTGGAGATACATATCAAATCCCGGATATTTTGCTTGGCATCTTAATTGGCATACCGCGTG